TACAGCCAGTTATACATGATCTGAGAGTCACTGCACACAAAGATATCCCTACCAGATGAAGAGCTCTTTCTTCAAGGACGGATTTTGAGAGGGCTCTTAGCTCAACCCTGTGTCAACAAGGAACAAATGGGAGCCGTCCAATCATGATGATGTTGAGCAGGGACGGCTTGTGTCTTGTGTGCTATGGGGGAATATCTGTTATGAAAGAGATGTTCCAAGATGAGAGAACAGAGGCAAGAAGACAGATACGTCCACTGTCATCTGTCACAGCATTCAGTCTTCTGACTCCACCTGCACGATCCCCCAGGACCTATTCTGCCTCTGGCTGCTCCACTGTGACTTCACCCCCCTTCTAGAGTGAACTGAACCTCTGAAGAAGGTGGAGTCTGAGGCTAGGAGACTATCAAAGGACACACACCTCCAATGACAAGTTTATTAAACTATTCCTCCCACCATTGTGAACAGAGTCCATCAAGACTTACAAGTGCAAAACAGAACAGTGTTCGTAGGAACAAAGAGTTGAAACATCTCCCGATGACTCCTTTCTCTCTGCCACAATACCCTTTAAATGGGGCAAATAAAGTGGGGTTTGTGCTAAATGGGGGGCATTAGGTGATGCTGGCCATGTGATAGGAAGCAAGTGAGAGGTGAAACCCCACCGAACCTCCACTGACCAAGCCCTCAAGACTGATGTCTGCCGGGTTGCTCCATAGACTGGTGTAGATGTTTCTGATTTGTCTGGCTCTAAGAGATGATAAAAAAAAAAAAAAAAAAAAAAAAGCCGGGTGGTGGTGCACACCTTTAATCCCAGCACTCAGAGGCAGAGCCAGGCAGATCTCTGTGAGTTCAAGGCCAGCCTGGTCTACAGAGTGAGATCCAGGACAAGCACCAAAACTACACAGAGAAACCCTGTCTGGAAAAAAACAAAAAGAAAAATCAGTGTATAACAAAAAAACAAACAAACAAAAAAGTTGAAGCTAACAGCCCTTCGTATACAAATTTCCAGGCTCAGGTTCCTCTTTCAACCTGACCTTTTCAAGTGGCAGAGTAACCAAAAGAAAGCCAGGTGGCCCATCATAGCTTGCCTCATTCAGAAGGCTCTGTGGGTCTCGAAATCCTCCCCTGAGATCAGGAGTACGTCTGGTGGGAATGTGCAGGCAGAGCCACTGGGTGCTTCTCCTGCTGCCCTTGGTCAGGGGTCCCCTTCCTCAGGAGAGAAACCAAGGGGGAACCCTTCTTCCTGCCATAGTCCAGACTTTAATCCTTGGCCTTAAGTTGGCTTCAAGACCTCGGGACTTTTATGGAGCTGTTTTTATTATGATCTAAATAAGTCCTTTCTTTAAAAAAAAAGAGAAGGTTTTTTTCTCTAAAGCTGGCCACCATCTGAGCAGACTCCACCATTGTCTGGTCAAAGACTGAGTCCCTGTAGCTGTCAAGGGACCATGGAGGAGCTTGGGTTATTAAACAACATTGTTGCTGAGCATCTACCCTGAGGCAGGCACTAGAGGGTTCTGGTGTATAACACTGCATCAGCCATGGCCCCAGCCCTCAACAAGTGGGTGAAGAGACAAATAAGTTACCACTCCTACTGAGTAACAAGGCATTTAATCTGGAGCGAGTAGTTGGCTGAAAGATGGAATTCATTAATTACAGAGTGTTGTCTGGGTGATCACAGAAGGTGATAGGTGAGGGAGAAAGGAAGAGTATTATTTTCCAGAGGAAACAGGATGTGTAAATGACCTGGAGATGGGAGTGTGGTGTGTCTTAGCAAAACCAAGAACACGTGCTGGTTAACCCGGACTGTGGAAGACAACTTGGGAAAGCGTGAAAGAGTGGTGTGTGAGGTTCTCCAGGTTGGTTTAGGAAGTAGGTGGGGCAGGTTTGTAAAGTACACTGTAATTTATGTCAGTGAGCCTAGATTGACCAAAGGAGTGGGACTTTTAAACAAGGAGGAGAGGCCGGTAGGTTTGTGTGCCCTGGCACTCTCGCCCAGTGAGAGCTTCCCAGCAGGACTTTATCTCTATTTTCTGGTGGTGAAAAGCATCATCCAATGCAGTGCCGTTGGGTCAAACACACAAGCCGTACGTGCCTAAGTTACAGCCAGGTGGAGACACTCTGCAAACATCCCTGTGGGCTCAGATTGTGGGGCAGAGTGTTTGCAGGAGGCAAAATCCCCCTTCTATATGTATCATCCTAGAAACATCATACATGAAGTCTTTGCTCATGGGGATCCATGACACATCAGGAAACAAATGTTTTTAAGTTTGTAGTCAATACCAGAAGAAAGTACTTGAAAGAAGAAAAACCCAGTCTAGATACCCCAGGGAGCAAGCTACAAGATATCACATTAAACTCCTAGGTACCTGCCCTTGAACTCTGCCAGCCTGTCCCCTCTAAGATTGGCTTACTTTCTGATATACTGGCCACCCCACCATTCACTCCGGGTCAAAAATCCTTTGATCCTTTCCCTGGACTAAACCCTAGTCTGAAAGCTCAGAGCTAGCTTCCCATCATGGTGGTTTCTCATTTCTAACAGAGATGGTAAAGGAGATGTTCGTGGGACCATTGGGCGTCAGAGGTGGGAGAGAAATGTCGTCCAGTTTAGAAGGAGCTGAATGGGAACAGAGTCTGTATATTATACGAAAAGAGGTCTCTAGAAAATTCTACCTGGCCACCTGATTTTGAGGTGCCACCTTCAAGGCAAAGGTAGCCAGGTAATCATGATGTGTTCAAGGCAGAAGCTGCACTAGACAGGATTTGCTAAGGCTAGACTGTTAGCTTGCCCATGTGCAAAGCCTCCTGGGAGAAACCAGAAAGAAAGCCCTGCCTCTTAGCCCCAGGATGTGGCATTCCAAGCTGTCAGGGATCTCTCTGTGACTCTCAGTTCCAGGTGTCCACATCTCTCCCTCAAGGCAGAAGTGGTCTCTTTAAAAAAGCTCAGGTGCCCCTCTCTAGCAAGTCTTCAAAGCAGGGGGTAAATTTGGGGGAAAGTAGATTTTGTTTTTATTTTTAATGAGGAAGCCTTTTCTAGTATGTGTAAGGCCCAGGGCCAGCCTATATGACTTAGCCAAGAGAGCTACTCATAGTAAAAAACCCCAATAAAGTATATCCCCTCTTGAGAGGCTGAAGTAAACATGTCTTCGAGGTGATATGACAGTCACCTTTGAATTCAGAATCCCGGGCCCTTCCCAGCACTAGAACACAGCATGGTAGTGAGCAAGAACCTGCCCCAAGGTCTCAGGCTTCCCTCCTCTGTCATCAGTGTGTCACCCACAGTGTCAGGGGACCCATACACAGGCACTTGGACACCTCAACATGATCATGCAGTTTCTGCCCAGATGGCCCACTTGAGACATAGTTTGCTTATGGAAAAAACAGATCTTCAGAAGGAGGCTCAGGAATCATTTAAATAGAGAATTCTGGGAACCCAAGCACCCCAGAGTGAGTGGTCTAGAGGTGTGGTTTCCATGGAGCGACCTCTTCATCACACAGATTTCTGCTCCCCATAGAGATGTATTGCTAGAAAAAGTCCAGGGCAAGGATCTCTCTTGCCCACAGCTAAACATGGTACAGGAGCCGGAAAAAAATTCACTGTGATTTCTCAGCCACAGCCTGACCTGAATGTTGAAGAAAAACATTCTCAGCATAGAATTCCCTTCCCAAGTGATAACTCTCCACAGCCCCCAAAATCCCTCAGTCTTCCTAGGCCAGTCCCCAAACTGAGGCATCTCTTCACCACTTAATGTCCAAGGTCCTTCTAAATCTCCCAGTTGCAATCACATGCTCCCTCCCCAGTGTCCCCTGGAAGTACTAGGGGCTAGGGCTCTACAGTACCGTCCATAGCTCCAGGTACCAAAGCAGTGAAGGTTTCTGCGATTCAACCTGGGCAGGAAGCTACCGGCCAGGTGGATGAAGTTAGGTCTCCCTGAGTGAGAGATCCGCTCGCTCAAAAGCACCGAGCGCCCCAAAGCCAAATAGATTCAGGGCGAAGGTTAAGGTTGTGTAGGAAGGTGTGTGTTTTTTCTTGTCATTTACGACTCTGATGATGGACTCACCTTGCCCGCTCTTCCCTTTCTCTTACACCTTTCCTACTAAAGGAGGAGTCCTTGCTTGGTAAGTGACGTAATCCGCAAAGACACCAGAGACTTTGTTAGAAGCCACTCAAGGGTGCTTAGCTACCTCCTCCGAGAGAGAAGGACGCGCACAAATGCCTGTAGAGACTCGTTTTGTTTTGGTTTGGTTTTTTCGGTTTTGTTTTCAGCCAGACTATTTGACTTTACATTTATTTTGCCCCGCCCCGCCCCCTCTCTTGACTCCTTTAGTTAGAAACTGCTCAAACGTCCGTTTGCGACCTTGACTATTTTTTTTTTTTAAAGAAAGAAAAAAGAAAAGAAAGAAACCAATTCTCATCTTTGTTTCTTTGACCCACGTGACATTTGTTCAGGGTTTTATTCAGGCAACTTTTTCTTTAACCAAAAAAAAAAAAAGAGTTAGTTGAGGATTTGGGTTGAAATTTCAAATTTGCCTTTATCTCCTTTTGTGTTTTTAATTTCCAAGATCTAATTTTTGAGGCCTGTAGCCCCTTTTTCTTTTTTTATTCCCCTCCCCCATTCCTTTATTTTTATTATTGTTTGAAGTTAAGGGTGTCTACAGCCCTCCCCCTTCTATTGATTTATTTCCTTTGTTTGAGTTTATTAGAGATTACATTTTGTATCATTTCCTTTTACTTTTGTTTGATCTGAGTCGCATGCCTTTTCCCTGCATGATTCCTAAAATCTTCCAGTTACTCTAGCAGGGGGTAAAAAAATATATATATATATCTAGAGGTCTCCTAGTTCTGTGGAATTCTTTCAGGAATTTGTGCTTTTGTTTTTGGGCGTCTCTTCTCTCCCCTTTCTCTCTTTGCTTTCGTTACAGTGACTCATGATGGTTAACATTCTTGGTTACTTAACACACAGCCCCGGAGCTCAGCAGTGTCCGACGGGTCTTTTTGCTTTCAGATCTCTGGGTCGGGGTCTGCGGCTGACCTCTTTAGCAAATCAGCCAGCCCGCTCACCGCCTCCCGAGGGCGCTCGCAGGAGTACGACTCAGGCAATGACACATCCTCGCCGCCCTCCACGCAAACCAGCTCAGCCAGGTCCCGGGGCCAGGAGAAGGGGAGCCCCGGTGGGGGTCTGAGCAAGAGTCGGGACCTCAACTGTGGCAACACTTCCGATTCAGGGAACTCCTTCACCACCTCCTCTCCGCAGAACAAGGGGGCTGTTTTGGAGAACGTCTCTCCTACCTGCAGAAGCAGTGAGTCAAGGTCAGTGCATTTGAGGGTACGAGGGTCCCCACTTTAGCATGACTTTCTTTTTTGTTTTTTGGGTTTTTTTTTTTTTTTTTTTTTTTTTTTTTTTTTTTGGAGACAGGGTTTCTCTGTGTAGCTTAGGAGCCTGTCCTGGAACTTGCTCTGTAGACCAGGCTGGCCTCGAACTCACAGAAATCCACCTGCCTCTGCCTTCTGAGTGCTGGGATTAAAGGCGTGTGCCACCATCGCCTGGCTAGTGTCACTTTCTTATAGTCTCATCACAGTGCCCTGCCCTTCCCAGGCATCTTTACTAGAAAAAGAAAGGACCTTCTATTCAAATTAGCTTGATTTAATATATATATATATATTTATATATATATATATATATATATATATATATATATATATATATATATATATATTTACAGACACTAGCTTCAGGTACAGCTGGTACCTGAAGGTACAGCATCTTTCTCTTTTGAATTCTACCTCTCAGCTCTGCTCTCACACTCCATTGGCTTCATTCTCAAGCAGACCCGCCCAGAGCTTTGCAGATAGGCTCAGCACCTGTGTCTCCAACCAGCCAGCAGAAAAATGCCTCCACCCCGCCCCCACAAAAATCTTAGCAAAAATACCAAAACAGGTACTTATTGGCTCTGCTTGGCCCAGCTTGGGTTAGGTGTCCCCTCAGACCAGTCTCTCTGACCCAGCAGGTGCTGAGTTACAGGCTAGAGCCAGATGTTTCTGCAGGAAAAGCCAGAGTGTTGATATCAGGAGGGAGGGAGGGATGGACGGCAGGGAGACAAAAATAGATGCCAGTTTGCCGAGAGTCTCGGGGAAAGTCCAACATGAACTTCATTTAAGTCGCTGTCGGTGAAAAATGTACCATAGTACTGACCAAAATCAATTGAAAACATATTCACACCAAAAAAATCTGTTTACATATGGTTATAGGAGTTTTAGTCATACTTTCTAGAACTTGGAGGCAACCAAGTCTTTTAGGTGAATAAACTGTGGTATATCCAGACTCTAGAATATAATAACAGTAATAATAATAATAATGTGCTATCAATTTATACAAAAGACACACACACACACACAGTTCCAACTACATGAAAGTATAACACATGATACACCATTCATGATGGGTAAATGTCCAGTGACTCATCAAAAGTCATAAGATATATAACAGTAAGAGTAAGCCTGACAGAAACTACGGGCTTTGAGTGATGGTATGAGGTGTTAGCTCCTCATTTCTAACACATGGACCACTTTGGTGAGGGACGTTGTTTGTGGGAGAGGAAGTCCTAGAGACCAGGAGGCCCATGCTTTGTGCTCAGTTGTGCCCTGAAATGAAAAGTGCTCTAAAATAAAACTTCTTCATGAAGAACACATAGCTACCCCTGTAAAGTTGAGGTATGGGTCCTTTCATGTGGTGCTATGCTGGCTGCGTGCATTTTTCCTTCTGAACATACAGCTACTCATTTGTTTGCAAGCCAATGACAATTCCATCATCTCATCACCAAGTGCTCTGTCACTCAAGCAGTCACAGCAAACAGCAGCTGGGGAGACGGCTCAGTGGTTAAAATGCTTGCCAAGCAAGCAGTGTAAATGTCAGGTGGGCGGGATGGCCTGCCTGTAATTCTACCCTCCAGAGGCAGAGACAAGGGATCCCCGGAGTAAGCGGGCTAGTGAGACTAAGCTTATCAGTAAGCTCTGGATTTAACTGAGAGACCCTGCCTCAAAGGAGAAAGAGGAGAGTGATGGAGGCAGCTTTCTGGCATCGGCTTGGCGTTTCCCCCCAGAACATACACCCACATCCATACGCACATGCACACAGAATACACGCACGTACATACACGTGAAAAGAATCTGAAAATACATAAATCGCGTCATAATGCTGACCGCTAGATGTACTCTTGCAAGAGTTGTTGTTAAAATTCACTGGCCACTTAGCCTGCACCATCCATTCAGTTACATCCCTCAGCTCCTTGCCAGACACACCCTCATGGCAGCACTCAGCTTGATGATAGGGCTCCTTTTTGTAAGTTTAGAATTCACTAGGTATATGGGTAGGGGAAGTTGGCTAGCACACTCTACCCAGAGAAACACTGGGGCTTTCCTCCTCCTGGGGATTCAAGTCCACCTTTGTTCTATGTGGCCAAGATTTCCAAATGATGGCCACACCCCTCTCAAACATGGAAGCAGTGACACTTTCTTCAAGGACAGAGCACCCCTTATCTCTAACACAAGACCTAGCCAGGCTTCAGTGCTGGACAAACAGCTTGGGTCTGCATGTAGCCCGGCCTCTGGTTTGCCCACTCTGGGACATCCCTGCCCATGCTTGGTGGGAGGCAGAGTTGGGTCAGTGCAAATGTCAACCTCTCCAAGAGCAAACAGTGAAGTTCCCACATGGGAGAAGAAGGTGGCCACGTATCTACTGACACACTGAAGTGCTGTGATTTGGGAGGATAGAGAGAGAAGGAGCAATAATAATGATGGTGATGAAAAAGTATTCGTATTAATTAATTAAAAAGCCATTAGTATCTATTGATCCAGATTACATAATAGACACTGGGAAAAATCCTTCCCACAAATAGCTTTCCTGAGCTCCTATTGGTGTCTTTTTGCAACAGGCACTATTATAACCTTTTTGTCAACTGATAGGAAACTGAGGCACAGACTCAGACAAAATCAGTTAAGAAGCAGCAATAGCAGCATTTCAATTCAGACCTGTCTCTAAAACTAGACCCCAAGTCCAAGAAATATATAGCTGTTACTTGCTTCATTTGATATACATAGACAGCCAAATTAAATAATTTAGAACCAGCCTTTCACTTTGGAATGTAAATGATGGTGAAATCATGAGTATTTATGTCCTGCCAGCTATGGACAAAGGGCTCAATAAATATGAGCTAAGTGAAGAGATATGAGCTGAAAGTCAAGGGCACCCCAGACGCAGAGGGTAAGGAATTGGAGAGGTGACAGGGATGAGTGTGTGCGGCTAGACAGATCCAAGTTTGGAACTCTGAGTGACCTTGAGCAAGTCACTACTCCTTCTGAGCCTCCTCCTTAATTTGGTCATAACAGTAGGACCAGATATACAATGTTATTGAGAAGATCAAATGAAATGATGCTTGTGAAGAGCCCAAGACACAGACAGGATGACCTAAGATGACACATGACAAGCACGTGTGGAGGATATAAAGTCCAGGGGGACACACACACCCCATCAGCTCAATATCCAGGGCAGGAGATACATGGAATCCTAAGACCAAATGAGTCATGTAGGCATGGGGGGAGGGCCAAGCAGAAGGGGCCATGGCAACACACAGGAGACCGTCAACCCAGAATGGGAATAGAGAGACTGTCCGAAGAGGCTCCTCTTCAAAGAAGATGGGGTCAAGTCAAGGCAGAGCCACGTGTAGAGGAAGATGCCAACATGTTCTGCGGTCTAGAGACAAAGGACAGAATAGGACATTTTGTTTGGGGAGAACAGCCTGTTAGGAACAAGAGCCAAGACTGTAGAGGTAAGCTGAAGCCAGATCATCATGAATCTTTCAAGATTTATTGTAGTTTTCAAGCTATATTAATGTGATTTGAAGTTGACTCTTGGCCTAATCAAATGAACATGTCTTCATGAGGACCTCAGAAGGAGTTCAGAATGGCCCTAGACAAGAGAGACTATAAAAACAAAGACTCCCCATACCCTCTGTCTAATTGTGAACAAACCTCCATCCACCGGTTTTGGGGGTCTCTCAATCTCTCCAACTGCAAAGTGGGCCACATCAAAGTTGCCCAAACACGGGTCACCTTCTTGATTCTTTTAAACTATATTCACACTGTTTTGTTTATTGTGATCATATCACTGTTTCTGTATGGAAATGTGTATCCCTTTCTGAAACATAATAAATAGAAAGCACCTGTGGTAATCGGATGAAGCCAATGTATTTAACTCTGGTCGGTTACAGTTCCCTGCTCAAGGCTCTGACCCCAAGGCCTGCTCCTTTATCTTGGGGAGATTACAAAGTGTTAGAGAGGTGTTAAAAACCCACAAGCACCCAGCCAGGGCTTTCTCATTCATGCAATCAGAAGGACTGGGCAAGGACAAGAAAGAGGGAGGGAGGAATCTCTCACCACATGATTTGATGTTGTTTAGCCTTGTGCCCACAAGGGCCTCCTGGAATGCTCTCAAGTGGCCCCCTGGTGTGGTATGCACCTCCTACCTGGGGGATGCTGAATTGGATTAAATATCATTCTACTTGGGAGGTCTTTTCTATCTCCGCCTTTCTAAATTCGGTCACCTGGCAGTTCTTCCCAGAAAGCTGGGAGGTTGAAAGAGGAACTGGGGATATTCTACCCTAGAGCTGAAGAGATGGCTCAGTGGTTAAGAAGGTATTCTATCCTAGTCAAAGGTGATAGAGGAAATACCAGGTCAAGGTGCTCCCAGAGCAAGGGCAGCTGGATAATGACAGACGTTTCTCCCTCCTGCAGAGGATTTCAGTCTCCATGTCTACAGTGTGCAGAGGTGAAGAAGTCTAGTTTGGTCCCATCCACAGCCCGGAGCTCCCCCATCAAAGAGTGCTCCCGTAGCTCCTCCTACACCAGCACTCGATCCTCCAGTCCCTCTTCCCGATCCCCAAACCACAGAGCCTCCCCCAGGTACACCCGGAGCCGGTCCACTTCCTCCGAAAAAAGGTATGTCTTTGACGTTTAATCTGTTGGTGTCTGTCAAGTTAAGCTTGACTTTGAATATCTGCTCCAGCCATTGCTACTGATGAGAGAGAGAGAGAGAGAGAGAGAGAGAGAGAGAGAGAGAGAGAGAGAGAGAGAGAGAGAGAGAGAGAAACAGTAATGTATAAGGCTTCCTTACTTCTCAGCTTGAAGTATCATTCCATCCCTCCTGCTGTTCTATTAGCCATAGTAAGTCACAAGACCCATCCAGAAGAGTCTCCCTTAATGAGAGGAGTTACAGAGTAACATTTCAGGGATTGTGCAAGATAGAGAGAGAAGAACTGCAGCTGTTTTTGTATTCTGTCCCCCAGTTTCAATAACCATTGGTATTGCTTGGTTACCTTGTATGAAATAGCTCTGACTTTGAACATTCAGACAGGAGATCTCAGGAAACGGAAGAGCCCATCTAATCCAACCCTCAGGGCCTCCTTGTTCTTCAAACAAAAATTTTTCAAATTTCAATTTTTTTGAGATTTCAAACAAAAATTTCAAAAAAAAAAAAAAAAAAAAACCAGCAAACTGGTTGTTCCTCTTCCACAACCATATAATCAACATTCAACATTCAGTTGCTTCCTTGGTTGGTAGTTTCAAAACCAGCACTTGCCTTTTTTTTTTCTATAAGATTTCTCAATGCAAATGCAAAGGACAATCTGGCCGGGCACTTTCCCAGGGGCACAATTGCAATAGGAATGAGCTCTTCTTCCTTCCACCGTCATGTTCTCTAGGTGCCGTAAAGAGAGAGAGAGGGAAAGCGTGGGCAACAGGGCTCTTAATTCAGATGCATCACCGAGAGTTGCCCTTCCCCTATTGCCTACGGGAGATAGGGTCCAGGATCCCCAGTGGATGCCTGCAGCCAAACTCTTGGCTAAGTACCAAACCCTATCATGACATGGCCCATCTCCCTTTGTAACTAAGACCTGTCATACACGACGACGATGGAAGTATTTTCAGTGTGAGGTGTTGTAGCAAAATTAACACGAGCTCTGCTTCTCCTGTTTCCTGGAGATCTCTATTCTTGCCACATATCTTAGTACACTCAGCCTCTGCTCTTTCTTTCTTTCTTTCTTTTCTTTCTTTCTTTCTTTCTTTCTTTCTTTCTTTCTTTCTTTCTTTCTTTCTTTCCTTCTTTCTTTCTTTCTCTCTTTTCTTCCTTCCTTCCTTCCTTTCTTTCTTATTGGATGGACAATGCTTATGCTCTCACTTAGTGGAAGCACGCCACTACTCCTTTCTGACATGTGTGAGTTACTAGTATCACTACTCTCGTACTTGTGGGTCATTTTTAAGTAAATAGAGATTGCTTGCACACGTGTACTACAATCCTGCGATCGTAGATCTACGATCCTGCGATGGTAGATCTGATCACACAAATGCTACCTACTAACCAGCAAGTAGCATAGACAGCATGGATACTCTGGACAAAGAAATAACCCACTTCCTAGTAGGTGCTACTCAGAATGGTTTGAAATGTAAAACTTATGAATTATTTGTTTATAGAATTTTCCACTTCTTAATTTTTTTTTCAATCCATTCATGAAGCCATAGAAAAGCAAAACCATGGGTAAGCACATGGGGGGCGGGGAGGGACTGCTATAATCTGCAGAAGTCAAAAACACTTTGTAGCCAGACTCTCTTGGATTCATATGTCCACTAGCTGTGTGACCCTGATCAAATTACATCACCTCTCTGTGTCTTTGTTTCTCCATCTGTAATATGAAATTAATAACAGTTCCTAACCCTAGGATGTGTTGAGGATTAAGTGAGACACGTGCATTTTCAGTTCAATGCCTGGCACATAATCAAATGTATAATCGTCATAGTTAGCGTTTCCAGTGTACTGGCTAATTGGCACTTAGTGTATATACCAATATGCTAAGTGATTTGCTCTAATTTAGATTTACAGCCAACTTTGTAGGCCTGGTCCTCCTTTCCCATTCTGCAGACGAGAAAATAGAAGCCTGGAGTCGTGGAATCAAGGGCCCAAGACCACACAGATAAAAAGTGGCCGGGACAATAAGCATTCAGGAAATAACAGGAAGTTGTCGATGTTATTATTAATTACTTGAAAAGGAGAGGATTTCATTCTCTGGTTATGGGTCCTTTAAAAGCCAGTCTTGCTCAAATAAAAAGAGCGCCGCCTGGGGGCCGGGTGCATGGAGCCTCAGCCGTCTACACAACCCTAGCACAGGTCTTCAGAGGCTCTTCCCTCTTCCCCAGGTCCTACTCTCGCTCTCCCAGCTATTCCTCCAAGTCTGGCAAGAGGAGCCCGCCTAGCAGAAGCTCTAGGTCTCGTCGTAGTCCCAGCTATTCCCGATACAGCCCCACCAGGTATCGTCCTTCCCACCCACCCCCAGGGTGGGTCCTGCCTCCTGGGCCACACCCCTTTACTCAGATCTTGAATTCTGGCCTTGCCTCTCTATGCCAATCTCCCAAGCCCTGCCCAATCCCTAGCCCTGGAGAGGTAGGGATGGGAATTCTTGCAATCCTGTTTGTCCAATCAAGAGCGGCAACTAGGCCCCTATTAATACACCCTTTGACCTACTGTCCTTTTCACACCTGGGGGCTCCGTATCCTTGCTAGCTTGTTGCTTTCTTTTGCCCCTGAGTTCACAACCCCAATTCTCCACCTCACCCTCCTCATCCACTAATCTTTGTGCCTCCCTGCCAAGGGACATGGACACACACACACACACACACACACACACCACCACCACCACCACCACCACCACCACCACACACCACACACACACAAAGGCTACCAACCACTCTTGCTCATGCCCAGCTTGCCCCATGGTGCTTGCCTAATCAGATTCTTCCCAAAGTGCATCATATTCCCTGTCTTCTCTGGAGACCCTGGCAAAGGCCAGTCTCCTCAGGGTGGCGGGGACAGCAAAGTGTCTCACACATAAATACCAGCAGAAAAGCCAGCCCAGCCTTAGTTACCTAGCAACCCCCCACCCTGCCGCTGCACCCCTTCAGGGACCCCAAGTATGGTGAGAAGGAATTGCAGCCCCGAGAGCGTGCACGCAGGAGGCGACGGTCCTACTCCCCCATGAGGAAGCGCCGGAGAGACTCCCCAAGCCACCTGGAGGCCCGAAGGATAACCAGGTGAGACCCCAAAGCAGGGATCACCTGCTTCCAACCTTCTCCCAACATCCTCCCATACGGACCTTGGGGCTGAAACTTAAGGATTGTGGGGGCTCCAGGATGACCCCTCCCAACCCTTAAAATGATGATTTTTGATTCAAAGTCTGCCCTAGTATGGAATTTTATCAGGATCTCAATCTGCTAGGCTGTCATGGGGAAGGAACTCGGAAAGAATGTGGACTAAGCTTGCCCTGGGACTCAGGGAAAGACAGTGGGCCGGCCAGTCTGAGGAGTAGTGTGTAGCCTAGGAGGTGTCCCGGAGGCTGGGGACCCAGCTGGTGCTAAGAGGAGAGGGTTAGAAAGGAGGGGTGGGGGACTGGCTAGAGAATGGGGCCCCAGACCACCAAAGGGGCAGAGCATTGGCCTGGTGGTGAAGCCCCACCTCAACGGAGGTAGTCCTTTACCCTACCATATCTAAATGCCAGGTTACAATTAAACTATTCATGATTATACCTCACACCAAGTTCAGACAGCACAAGTAATATGGCTGGGATTTCCAAGGACTTAAATGGAGCTGTGGTGAGTGAAGGACACATCGTCAGGTGTTGAGTTAAGACCTGTTTTCCCAGGGAGCCTAGAGTCCTTTCCCCTCCTCCGGGCTGTTTTCTCACCCACAAAACGTGGCATAACTCCCAGGAGCGTCACGTGGGAGAGCTGAAAGGGGACAAAAAGACGTAAGCCCGCCTTGTAAATTTAAACGCGGGACACGCTGTATTCTGTCGTCATGGACTGAATGATGAGAAGAGGTGGAAGACGTGACCTGTGACAGCTCAAGTCTCTGAGGAGAAGAGCTGTCGGGAGAGAAGGCAAGGGCTGTGAGAGAAACTGTGTTTCTCAGGCCTTGAAAGCTGGGAGAATGGCCGGATGGCGTCCCCCAAACTAGGTTATCTCTGCAGACACCCCCACTCATCCCAACCACCCACAGGGGAAGGGATCCTGGAAGCCCATTGGATCCATCCTGGAGAGGACCAGGAGGCAGGCAGGACAAGAGCAGGGGGCTCCGGGGTGATGGATGGAGTTGCCTGCTCAAATGGTCCACAGTGCTCTCTTCCCAGCATCCGTGCATCCGTGATTGTCTTTGTCACTGGTTACCCATGCTGCTGGTTAGCTGGTCGTGGCTGTATTTCACTTTCTTAAATTCAATATGCCCTTTTTCACAGTCCCCCCCCCCCACACACCACACAGAAACACCCTGTGTACTTATTTTTTAAGAAGAAATGATATACTACAGTAAATGGAAAAACCAGCCTTTCCCCCCTAGAAATAGAAGCTACTAGAAATAGAAGTTTCTAGTTAAAAGTAAAAATAGCAAAATAAAACTTCAATTAAAGTGTTGATGCAGATATTGTTGCCAGCTGAGGAACCCTGAGCCCCAGGCCTGATTTGTTGATTTCTTTCTTTTTTTTTTTTTAAGTGACATTATCGTTTTTTCAGGATAGAACAGTACTAAACCAGGCTTTTTCCTTGATCTCAAAACTATGAGAGGAGAAGAGATGGAGGAATTTGTTGGGGTTTGGAGTTACTGCGGTTTTCTTTTTCTCCCTAAGAGACTGGGGGATGGCAGGACATTGCTTTCCCTGGGAACAGCCCCCGGCGCTCCCTGACAGCTGAGCCCTCACCTGCTTCCTGTCTCTGGTCCCTACAGTGCCCGCAAACGCCCCATCCCTTACTACCGACCCAGCCCCTCCTCATCCAGCAGCCTCAGCAGCGCCTCCTCTTGGTACAGCAGCAGCAGCAGCCGCTCCGCCAGCCGCAGTTACTCCCGGAGCCGGAGTCCCAGCCGGAGCCGCAGCAGGAGCCAGACCCGGAGCCGGACGCGGACCAGCCGCAGCTCCAGCTCCCGCAGCCTCAGCGTGGGCTCCCGGAGCCGCAGTCGGAGTCGGAGCCTGAGCTACAGCTCGGCAGAAAGCTATGCCAGCACGAGGCGCTAAGCAAGGGCCCTCCCTCGAGCCACTGCCCACCGGGAAGACCCCTCTGTACTCTGCCAGTCTCCTTTACTACCTGCTCTTCACGCCCGCTCCCCGGTGACGGCTACGGAGGGCTCCTGACTCCTGTCCTCTGTGCTTTCCTGGGAAGGTGGGGCGGGATACAGGGACTTCTATTCCTTTGCCAAGCTGCTAGGAGCCTCTACCAGCACCATCCTGAGGGTCATCGGGGCCGACGGAGAGGGCCACCTGTGGAAAGCTATGATGGATGACTCAAAAGTTTGAGCCTGGCCAAGACATGTGGCGATATCTCTGTTCCACTCAGCCGCTGCTCACAGGATACCTACTGGAGGCCAGGGTCAATCCACCCCTGCTGCCCTCCTTCTCCCCTCCTTCAATCTCATGGCTGCACATTTTGGACCCCAGTGTTAGGAAGAGAGGAGACCAAGGGTGAAGTCCGAGAGAAGAGCTCAGAGCTTTTTAACCTCCCTCCCAACATGGGCAAAGGCTGGGAGCTCCTGGGTCCCGCTGGGAGAAAGCAGACATGAGCAGAGGAGGTGGATGCAATTGTTGTTGGTAGACGTTGGGGAAGATTGGAGATGAGTTCTCTAGTTATAGCAGCAAAGAATCAAATCATTCGCCCTCCTAGTATGTAAGCATGGTCAGGGAAGGGATTCCAGCAGGTTCCAGCTCTGTGGAGACCCTTACTCAGGGCCTCGTGACCCCATGGGGATAAGGAGACAGTGAAGCAGTCAGCGTGCTTTGGGCTACAGCCCTACTTCCCAAATTTGCCTCATCCCCAGTAGCTGGCACCAACTTGATTCCACGGGACCATCTGCTGAGCATTCCCAGTGCTGTGGCTAGCAGCCAGTCCCCAGCGCCAGCCAGTCTGCCCCTGTCCTCCAGTTGGCGCCTGCCAGCCCCCTCCACGTTGCCCAGACAGCCACACCCTTGATTCTACCCAGGGCAGGCTGGCACCTGCCGCCTCACATGAAGACCACTCTCTTTGCCTCTCAGGAATTTTGCCAGGATGGGACGTTGCATTTAGCTCAGTGTTGTGGGGAAAGACCCAAATACAGAGAGCCTGTGACAGAGGGACTTGAGTGGTCCCTGGCTTGGGGGCTCCTGCAAGCTTAGGAAAGTCCAGTGGTTGTTGCTGTCCTCACTCCACCTTCTTCCTGCCCAGGGCTGGGCAGCAAGGGTAAGCTGCCCTCTGACACACAAATGCCATCAGCTGCTTTGTCTGCAGAAGACATTGGGAACAGGCAGGCGAGAGAGAGAAAGAGAGAGAGAGAGAGAGAGAGAGAGAGAGAGAGAGAGAGAGAGAGAGAGAGAGAGTCCTTAAAATAAACCCTCGGGCATCCCCCTCACCACCTGCCTGGCTTTCCAGAGCCTTGTGGGTGTCAAGTGTGTGGTGACAACAGCTGAGCAGGCCAGGGCACACGGAGAGAGAGGTTGTTTCCCAGCTTTGGACACTGAAGCGTGATGGACTCAAGGACACAACATTATTTATCCCTCTTGCTCCAAGGTAAACATTCGAGGAGGAAAAAAATCCCCATCTTAGAAGCAGTGACCTCTCCATGCCAATCTTTCCCAACCTGTCAGCCTGGGGGGTCCCGTGAGCGCCAGGGAAGTCTGTCATCTCGTAGACAAGGAGGACCATCAGTGACCCCACTGGCCTTCCCACCATGGCTTCTTGCCCAGACCGAAACTCCGCCCACCAAGACTCAAGGATGCCTATGCTGGCACCACAAGAGGCCGATGGCAGGTGCCTGGCACAGGAGTAGGTGCCCCAAGAGGGCATGTACAGCAGCTGTAAATAACCCCCATCCCTGCCCGGGGCCCCAACTCCTCCTTGTTTCCCTCATGGAGACAAAGGCTTCCGGGAGCCACCAAACCTCCTCGGCAGGACTGCTTGTGAGGGCACAAGAGCCTCTCTCGAAGACACTGACCATTTTCATTCAAACCACTCTAGGGGACCATTTTGCCTGGGGCTCCCAGCAAACTTTTTATTTATTCGATTTATTTATTTTTTATGTATTTATTATTTATGTGATGAGCTCTCTTTCTCACCATTATCAGTATTTAATTATTTATTTATTTATTTATCCAGAGAGATTGTCTGTCGTGGTCGGTGATCATGTGTGTATTGGGTGGGACGGTCTTCTAAATTATTTGTGCTTTTTTTTTTTTTTTAATCCTGTTGCCATGGCTGCAGTTGGAGAGGCCAGAGGCATCTTGGTCTTTTCCGTGAATGCTCTAAGCCCTGAGCATCTTGGAACTGACCCAGAAGCATACAAGTCCCAAGGTTCATTATTAAGCTCGATGCCAGTGAGGTTCGGGCCTGCGCCTCACCTCCTTGTACACATGCTGCGCCACTACTGTATCAGAAAGATGAAGTCAGTCACAGAGTTCACGAGCCTAACTCCGAGGCTGACATTAGCACGTAGCTACACATATTTAAAAGAGCCCTGAAGGACTCTTCGACTAACTGCTTAGAGTCAGAGTGCCATGTCTTGGCCAGTCTTCAGTGGCATCAGTGGCATCCATGATAGAGCCATGGCCTTGTGATTGGGGAACCCTGTGGGTAAGAATGGTTCAATACTAGCCCAGCTCTTGGAGACAAGGTGTCAGCTTGATGAGGTTTAATTGATGTTCACAGCCGGAGAGAAGGCAGGACTAACCCAGGGAAGACACTGTGCTCTTCTTGATAACCGTAGAAGGCACCAACTCCTTCCTATGAGCAAAACAAAAGGTGGGATTCATGTAAGTTACACCTGCGTCTCCTCCGGGTATCTAATTCCTCTCCCCCTAACTTTTGAGATTGGAAAGTTTTTCTGTTTTGTCCGCAGTAGTAGACGTCACTGTTTTGTGAAGAGGGAGGGCATGGGCCATCCTGGGAGAGACCCACACAACCAGAGCAAACATCCTTTTGCTGTGATCTTTAGCTGTTCCATTGGGGTAGCACAAAGCTGCTTCTGAAATTGGAAAATGAGATGCAGATGGAGGGGACAGCCAGATGTCTCCCCCCCCCCCCAAAAAAAAAGATAATTTCTAAGCTCATTCTGGGATCCAGGACCTAGAGACCTTTATCAGTCCCGCCTTCGTGACCGGCTGGCGGTGACTTCTGGCTGCTGACTACAGAGAGCCCTTGCCCTTTCTGGAGTCATTCCCCATGGACTTTCGGGAACTGGCTCGCCTGGTCCAGTTGTGGATTTAGTAGAACTTTCACCAAATCCCCAGCTCTTCCCTTCAACATGGCTCTCATACTCTAACCGAAGCAAGGTGTTATTCTTCCCTTGGAAACAGTTTTCAGAAGGTAATTTAGATACCTCTGAGCTAAGGTGCACCCTCTTCCTCCTCCTCTTCCTCCTCTATCCCTCCTCATTCTCTTTCCCTCTGAACTGCTTTTCTTTCCAAGCAAACATAGAACTCTTTCCAGGACGCTAATAGCCTTGGCTAACTAGAACCATTAAACCCTGGGGTATCAATCCACTTTACCCTCATTACTTTCTGCCTCTTGGGAATAACACCGCTTGAAAGGGGTTTACAGCCATGTTCGCACAGTGGTTAGCGCATTGTGTTGTGAAGGCTGTTCCCGGTGAGGATTTAGTTCAACCACCAACATCCAAAATGGGTGAGAGTGTAGCCTGAGGTTAAGCAACATATTGCCGAAGCCCCTTGACTTTTCTGCTCGGGGCGTGCTCTACGTGAGTGAAACAGGACTGATGATTACCTTGTTGTGGGTTAGGGTTCCCACTTGTCAGGTGGAGCAGTTAACAAACAATTCTAGGCATTGGCCTGAGGCCTGAGAGAGTCAACACACACACAAGGAGTTTCACTGAGACTCAGAGGGAAGAGAAGGGGTTTGAAATGCTACAAGGAGGTTCCCATTCTTAGGAACAAACTGAGAACAGCACCCGAATTCCTACTGGACAGTTAACGAGCCCCAAGTCGCCAGCAAGGACCATTCTTGTGCACCGAGGTTGGACTGCATTCCAGGCTGTCTTTGAGACCTCCTTGGAAGGCGACTCAGCTTTTCAGGAGCAGAATAAAGTGGAAAGATTGGGAAGGAATTCGGGTCTCCGTCTCAGTGAGCCCCCCTCCTTACATTTCTCAGACCCATTCTCTTTCCCCAAAGGGCTTTAACGAAGCGCAAATCTGGGGTGCTGCCAAAGGTCGAAGAAAGCAATGAGTTATGTCTTTCTCAAGGTCAACTTCCAACTTTTTTTTTTCCTCCTGCACTTTTCCTTTTTTCTGTGGCGCCGGGGGTGGGACCCAGGCCCTTGGGCACTCTAGGCCAGCGCTCTAGCAAAGGAGCCACGCCTTGAGCCCTGTGCTCGATTCCCTTGGCCCCGTCTCCTCTGGGTGTCTTCTGAATCGTCTCGTGAGCATTGTTTCTCACCTCGGTTTCCCTTCTGCTGAGCGGAAAATTTGATTTGATATTAAAATGACACAGGCCCTCCTCCACTGGCCAGCCCACCAGAGACACTTGGGCCCGACACAACGTCATTGGACCACCCTCTAAAGAACTCTGTTCCTTCTCCGTTCTGCACTGTTGAGCCAATGGCATTGACACCGTGGTCACCATCCCTCTGTGACTTTTTCTTCTGTTTGGGCGTTTGGGTTTTGTTGTTCATCTCTGTTTTTGTTTTGCGAGTTGATTTTTTTTTTTTTTTTGGTTTTATTCCTTTCTTTCTTTTTTTTTTTTTTTTTTTTGGTGGTTGTCATTTTGCATTGTAAATACCATGATGTGAGCCTGTCCTCAGAACATGGCTTATTTAATAATTTATTATTATTTGCTATTTATTGAGTGGTATTGGGAAGGGAGGGGGACCAGCCCTCCCCCATGGATTGCTATTGGAAACCCATTCATCTCTCAGCTCTGGGTGCTGCTGTCTGTAGTGGGGAATTATCACCCAGGTAATGAATGCTGGAGTCACCAGACGAATTGAAACCAGCAGAAACAGAGGCTCCTGTCATACAAATTAAGTCCAAATGGAGCTAAAACACTGGTTATCTCTGGAAAACCTCATTTAGATGGAAATTAATTGAGGAACTCAAATGCCTGTACATGAACCAACTTCTATTAAAAAGTCACAACTAAAAAAAAAAAAAAATACAGAGAGAGAATCCTTTTTTCTCCAGCCACATGAAATTATGTCTCATTTATTAACAAGCTGAGTCAAAGAGACAGCAATGGTGTTCCATTGTGTTTTTCTTGCCTTTGGGGATAAAGGTAGTGGGTCTTGGGCCTCAGGCTTGTCCACTGTCCTATAGGACTTGGCCCATATGTTCTGGGGAGGGCGTGGTGGGGGGAACTCTTCTCTGGTGCTGTGGACCCCATCCTGGTGGATGTTGTGACTGTATCTTTTTCTGAAAGGAAGAAAAGGGATGTAGGGCTTGGACTGATGTGCAGGGTTGGAATAGCTGAGCTGTGGGACACATCAAGGTTCCCTGAGTCCAACCTAAACTCTCCAAGGCCAGTGTCCCTGGAGTCACAATGGGGAGAAATGGTCTTTGCCCCATCCCGAATCTTAACTGTTGTCCATTGTCAGACCATATCCTCTACATTATTTATTCTGATAAGCTGGTGACAAAGGTCCCATCGCGACTTTTCAGATAAAGCTGAGGCCTGTGGAAGGGAACTGTTAACTCCCAACTCCTAGAACTGGTGCCTGTCTGACTCTGTCCCTTGTCCCTCAGTGGATCCTTTCCGGGGGTGGGGGCCTGAGCTGTGGTGACTCTGCACTGTGTCTTTTTTCCCCAGGCTAAGCTATTTCCTCAAGTGGCCATTGGCCAAGGACCTAGCTGATTCCACCACACTGGCTCAGGAGATGTGGTGCATCTCAAGGCCATTTCTCTACATGGGGGGCTGGGACCCCCATCTGTAAAATCCCAGAGCAGAGGAACCCCAAGTAGCCCAGCTCAGCCTGAACGTCTAACATCTGCCCAGGATGTCTGCTTTAGAGAGAGAGAAGCTGCTGTGTCCTCCAGCATCCAGAGAGAGTCTATCCTTTGCCCAGGCTTTCAAGTGACCCCAGCCTACCCAGGGTTCTCAGGTTTTCAGCCTGTAGGATTCACATCTCTGTTCTAATTAAAGGTCCGTGGTATGGTGTTCTCATATGTGTCCTGGTGTCTTCTGTGAGAAGGAAGATGAGGTATTAGGGAACTCTCATGGCTCACCCTGCTGTGTCACACACACACACACACACACACACACACACACACACACACACACACACACACGGCTCAGTGCATTTATTCAGTTTCCCAAACAGACTTGTAAGCACTTGGGTTTTACTTTTGTGTAAGTTTGTGAGCGTGTGGGGGGGGGGGGGGGGTAGGGCGGAGCATGTGTGTGTGGTATGTATTCACACACATGCAGAGGACAAAGGATAATTTCAGATGTCATTCTTTGGGTGCTGTCCAACTACTTTTTTGAGACCGAGTCTCTTACTGGCCTGATGGCCAGTGAGCCCACCTGTCTCCACCTTCCCCAAAGCTAGGGTTAGACCTGTGAGACACCATGCCAAGCCTTTTTTTAAATTTTTTTTTTTATAATTTGATTTAATATTACATATCAGCCATGGATTCCCCTGTCCTCCCCACTCCCGCCACCCCTCCCCCCAGCCCATTCCCCCCCACCCCCTACCCCCCCCACCCCCTGTTCCCATCTCCTCCAGGGCAAGGACTCCCCTGGGGATTCAGCCCAACCTGGTAGATTCAGTCCAGGCAGGCCAAGCCTTTTTTTGCATGTGATCTGGGGATCAAATTCAGTTCCTCACTTTTGTGAAGCAAGTGCTTTATCAACTGAGCTATCCACCCAGCCTGGGTTTTAGTAGCATCTATGGGCTTCCTCAGGAAACCTATTCCAAACCATCTCATTGTGCACCTTCTCTGCAACCCAACCATTAAACTTCCTTCCTCACAAGATAGAAACTGAAGCCTAGGGGGAAAAAAAGCCATTTTCCAAAGAACCACAGTCTCCACAATCAAGGTCAATTCAGACAAGCTGACTCAGAACAGCAGGCTGCCAATTCTCCTCCATGGCTCCAGAACTTGTAAATATCTAACCTCTTCAATAGAGTTGTTTTTGTTTTGTTTTGTTTGTCTTGAGACTTTCATGACCTGATAAAGATTTTAGATCCTAAATATCTAGGACACTCCGACTGTTGACTGTGCAGTACTGGACAAGGGCCACACCCTGTGGATGACTGGTTTGGTGATCTGTAGAATGGGTTCAGGGCAGCCACCTCCCTTGGCTGCTATGGGAACAAAATGAGACCTTCCATTCTTTAAATACACATTCAGTTGATGCTGATGAGCAAAATTAGCATTTCCAGGGCTGAGTCTGAAGTGTGGGAGTGGGAGCACCAGGGTCAGCACGAGGGACCCCACTTGGAACACAGGGGTTTTCTGGAAATGTTCCCAGGGCATAATTCAATGTCTCTTCCACTCCAGGGCAGGTTGAAGGTACTTACAGGATAGGTGGGAGTGGCAGGATTAGCTGCGGGGATGTGGAAAGCACAATATACAATACACAAGAATCTCAGCTCAGTGTTGCCACACCCTCCAGTTTTCAAGGGTGCCTGCTTTTTAGGTTAAAAATTGTATATTTTGGCCAGGCGGTGGTGGCATATGCTTTTAATCCCAGTACACCTTTAATCCCAGCATGCCTTTAATCCCAGCACTTAGGAGGCAGAGGCTGGTAGATCTCTGTGAGTTTGAGGCCAGCCTGGGCTACAGAGTGAGTTCCAGGAAAGGCGCAAAGCTACACAGAGAAACCCTGTCTCGAAAAACAAAATAAAAAAAAAAAATCTTATGTTTTAAAGTGTTAATAACATCATTTTATTTTCAAATATCATGTGAGTCAGTTACACACTCACATACACAGACACAACCAGATATGTGCATCACTCATCCTGTGTCTTGCCCAGTGAAAACCTGCCTTGGGAATCATGCACATGGGGTAACCTCTCTTGGGTAAATCTGTGGCTACCCACAACCCCCACCTCACCCCACACTGATTT